GTACAATCACCTACAGACATACCCTTACCAATTTCCAGAATGTGGGCCCTATAATGTCTCAAAATACGGCCAACTAACGGTTATATCACTGTATCCTGTGTATAAGAGAGCTTATAGGGCTGCAAAACAAATTGAATCAGTTAGGAACATAAGATAGTTCGAAGGCGAGGAAAGCGACGAGTGAACAAGTCAAATAAATGCGATAATCATCAAGTGTAAATCTGAATAAACGTACCACATTTTTATCATCAAGAACCCAAGCATAGGCCTAACTGGTGACAGCGGTCACATTTTACAATAATAACCTCGCCCGAGATCCGTTATACGATTGTTCGAATCGTCATCATTAAAAAATATTTACCCGTTCTACCAGCGATCACTTCACTTCTGCACACTTCAATTATTAACGATGGCATATGAAGCGATTCGACAGGCGGTAGAATGACAAGAATTCGAAAACGAAACAGAAAACATTGGTTGCGCACCACGAGGAATGCTCGACCCGGTATTATGTACTCGATCCGGTAAATCTTGCTTTCGCGTGCAGGTGCGCCTTCGATGAAATATACGTACTCATCGAACAGAAATAATATTGGAATTTACACAATTATAAATAATAAAGGTATTCCGCACGAAATTTAATTGGCTGTTATATATGTAGCGAAAGTACTTCATAAATATCAAATAGATGTGTAGTTCAACGTCCATTCTGGCATGATTTTTTCGAGAATAATACTTACTATAGGTAAATTTTGAGAAATATTTTTCAAAACAATCAACTTCTGATCAAAAAATTTGTTTATCTCTCACTATTTGTTTTCTATAACCGTTTTCATAATTCTGTGTTAAATCTCACATATCTGGCTCGAAGGACCAACGCTGTTACTAGCGTTCATCAATTCAATCACCAACGTACTTGATGAACAAATTATGCCTAAAGGAAATACTACAACACTATAAGAACTAGGTTGGTAAATTGAATATCATATATAAAGAAGAAATTGTGTTTTCGCAATTCTTAGTGGATACATTTGATGCTGAAAATAATGTATATAATAAATAATAAATGTTTTTACACTATTTTTGTTACCTAACTTACCCACCCAACTTCAGAACCATTTCAACAACAGTATCAAAAAAATATTGCGGTCAAACTGTTATTTGATAGATAATATTAAAAACAACATTTCTCAAATAAGTATGTTCAAAGTAAAGTAGGACTTTTTGAATGAGTTTTTGTTGAGAAGTAGGACGGTTGAACATAGATCAACTTTTGGAGGGTACGCCACACTTCTACAGGGTACGTATATAAACTGTATACCTACATTGTTGAATAATTCCAAAAAGCACATTTCACTGATATCTGAAACATTAATAAAAAAAATGGTCAACTTTACGCCTTTACCTCAAACTTCCGATGGAACCTCTTTGTAAAACACACTGTACAAGTCGCTCAGTATCCCGACACCAGACACTATTCAACTAGACAGTAGCTGCTACTACACTCTTTCCTCACGAATAAACCATCGATCAAACCATCGATAAACACCAGCAAAACGCCTCGTTAATATTCCACACGAGCCAACCTATACCGGACATCCGTCGATCAAAACAGTGGAAAGATCTAACGCAGACCACAGGCTCAATAACGAATAACGTAACACCCTCCCAGAATTCACAAATACACACACCTTCCTGTTATCCCATATCTACAGTGAGTCTTTCGTTGATAATTGCCGCCGTAGATACATAAACTTCGTGAATATTTTCGAAAAATGATGCACCGCCACATCCGGATTGCGTTTGATTTTTGCACAGAACTTCGCTCTGTTAAATTCAGTAGCGGTAAGCTTCCTGGAAGAAAAGTTTGCGCGTCCGTTTTTGGTGTCTGTGGGAAATACAATGTATTATTACAAAGGTAAAAAACTGTCGATGTTGTTTTCAGTGTGGCAGGAAAGTGTTTTCGATTGCATGACAGAACGAGTAGAGTGTTTTATTACTGAACGGTACACGAAGAGTGTGGTAGGTAGGTAATATGTCGTGGTCGAATTGAACATGAAGTACCAGACGTTTCGTCTGCTTATGCGTCAGACATCATCAGTTGTAGGTATGTGCGTTAACTTCGAGATGCCTGATACTGCTGCAGTATCAGGCGAAACGTTCGGTACTTCAGATTTCTTTCGGCAATTGCCTATCACAGTGACGGCTCGTGCATTTTTAGAACAGGGGAGGCTAAAGTCAGTAAGACTATATACACACAGAAAAGCCCGCCGGAGGCGCGAAAATGTTTTCGGTACCGCACCTATTTAAAGCAAAATACGTAATATTTGCATAAATGCAAACAAAAATTGTGTATTGCCGAAAATTATACGTATAAAACAGACCATTAGAAAAACAACCCTAACCTGAGCTGTATCTAAAGCTGTTGCTATATTTTGTTTGCTAAACAAGACGAAAATATATGCTACTTAGATTTGAAATGTCTTTCTGTAGAACGAGGTAAATTTGGTTGAGGCCTTACCAGAGTTTTAATAATGTAAAATTCATCATCCTAAGATAAAGACTTGAAATTATTTGCAACCAATCGACTATATCGTTAGATTTTTTAATTTCGTCCAACTTATCCATAATAAATGAAAAAAAACTTACCTGAAACAAAAATTACAAATAGGGACGTATGTCGCTGGTTGGATCGGTCTCGTGGAGACTGTGTTTTTTAAAGCGGTCGGAGACTTGGCTCCCTTGCAACGTACGGCATTTATTATTTCGGGTTGATGGTTTATTCGTTATTCGTTCATGGGCGGTGCTTTTGAGTTTTATTGATGCATGATGTATGGTACGTACTACGTAGTGAGTGATAGTGTTTTTTCGGACATATTATGTATTTATATTGAAAATTAATGGTAAAGTAATGATATCCAAGGATTTTTAGAAAAAAATAATCATAATGATTTGTCAATATATCTTTATTGCGATGAATAGCCTCAAATTTTATGGGGAGGCTAAGCCTCCCTTGCCTCCTCAGACGAGCCGCCGCTGGCCTATCAGCCTCGATTTTGTTCACTTCAAACGTGAAAAAATATGTGGAGGGGTCAGCTTTTCTTGCTGTTTTTTTTTTGGTTTTTCACATTCCACAATCTGATAAACGAAGAAAGTTTATTCAATACGGAATTTGATAAAGTGCAATAAAGGAACATTGAACAGATCGACCCGAAAAATTACTGCGTAATAATCGAGTAACAACGAAATTATTGTATACGGTGCCAATGGAGTTGTTTGCGATACAAGAAATTTAAAATTTGGAACAAAGGTATGGGTCTTTGAAGCCGATATCTCCAACAATGAAACAATTGAAAATCGTTTTCAGTTCAACTGGAAATGGACGCAAGTGTTGAATTTTGAATAGATCTTTGTATATTTTTAAAAACCATCTGATAGAACATGAAATTCTCTTTTCCATGTTATAACAAAAGAGACCATTTCTATTCGAAATGTCGGTGTATAGGAGCCATTTTATCCATTTTACCTTACCAACAACCGAGTGTGTTCTGTTCTCACATATCAGTAACCGATTCGTCTCAATTTTTAGGAAAAAGGGAAACACACATATCATTTTTTCAGGTGATGGATTACTATTATAAGGTATCTAACTACCTCATTCTTTCACATTTTGAGACCAATTGATGACGTTATTACTATTGTTTCAAACTTGTTTATCGTTGTTTTTACGCGGTTTCAAATCTTTTATAGGTAGGTACCTACCTAACTACACTAATAGTTGTTTTCATACATAAAAACTAATGTATTCATACGGAATAATCAATAAAGTGCTGATGAATATTACGGAATTGACACAAAATCCAAACATGGGGTTACTTATTGGTGCAAAAGTTAAATCATTTCAACATTACATTTCCGTCGTTTGGAACAGTAGCCACTTTCATTCTTATTACTTTGCCGACTCATTGCATATACCCAAACTAATGATGCGCGTTCAAAGATATTTTGTCTTCAATTTAGATATATCATACTTAATGAAATCTTTCTAGTCAGTGAAAAATAACAGGTAGGTATATTTGTACTTTTTCAAATTTAAGAGTTTACACCACAGATTTGTTATCACACTTAAAACTTGACCCTAAAGGACAATTAGCTTGCTTTCAAAGTTTCATTATACCTATGCAAGTTAAAACTTTCATAGTCTATCTGTCTATCTCTGAGCGATCGCGTACCGTGGACCAACTAGCAACAGGGAGGGCGTGGTCCGCAGCCTCCCAATTAGACGATCACACGGCAAAGAGGCGGATCTCGAACGGCCAATCCCCATCCGGTCGGTACATTACTCTCTAGCTGGTCATCCCGAGTGCCCTCGATAAGCGATCAACCTTGGCCGATCTCGCGCGAATTTCGTTTCTATTGGCAACCGATAAGCAATTGTTTTATATAGAGATTTGGACCTCCCAGACGTTCAATAATGAGTCGTGGATAAGCGTTCGATTGGACGGATCGAGCGATTAGAACGAGCAATGAAACGTATTAGAATGAGCGATTAGCATTGTTTGATTTACGGGAGAACAAATTGGTTTGACGATGTATCACGTAACTAAGTTTAATGGTGGGGTTATATAAACACTTCTCCAATATTTACCAAATATGGGAACATTTCAACCTCTAATATTTTCGAACTTTTTGAACTTTCACAAAAACAGGAGAGTATCCTTGCATTATCAGACACATGATAACTCTTACGAGGAACTTAGAGAAAATTAGCACTAAAATAGGCAACTGATTTTTTTTTCACGCATAGACAAATTCCTTGGTTCCGCAATGAATGAGTTGATAATGTTTTTATTTCGAAATATGCAGAAAAATGTTATTTTTGTTTGTTAAACTATTGAAACCCTGACTGAAAACCAGTTCCTATCGTTATTACACATGCATTACATTATTGATTGAAATTTTTGTTGGGCATGGATATTAATTCGAATTTTTGTTTGCAGGAGTTTACGGACAATTGAGGAGTCCGGCTTGTCCGACATCGGATGAAATGCGAGATGACGGATCACCCCCTCCTGGTGGCGCCCTCACCGGATACCTTCAACAACTCCAAAGGAGTCCCGCCTATCACCATCCGAAAGATGGTAACATTGTTTAACTTTATGTAAAACTTTAACTAAACATCTGCATCTTGACAAAATATAATGGGTCTGACTTTTTTAAAACTCTGTAGAACTCATGTGTACATTTCTCCAGTTCACTGTCATCTTTCAAAATTTTACCAAAATTGTATCGGTGCCGAAGGAAAACAGTTGATTCCCTGGCCAATATCACGACAGGCATTGAATTATATCCGACAGACAATTTTTGAATAAAATTTAGTGAGTGTTGGTTACATTTGGAGTATCAATACTCGACCAAATATACCGGGTGATTCCTTCTTCCAGTTCATATATAATATTGAAATTGGTGATGGAGAATGAAACGTTGTATTAAAATCTGTAAACGTTGTCTTGAACCTACAGAAACGTGTTTAGGAAAGTCATTTATAAAAAAAACAATGGCCCTATAATAGAACCTTGTGGAACTCTACACACCAGTAAGGATCCTAAACCAACCGGTCTATATCTATATTAATTTTTCAGGATACAAAAGTACGTGTCCGCCAAGGAGTGATTCTACGGGCGGCAATTTCGGCGCGATGGACCAGAACAACCTGCAAACGTTAAACGGCGACGACGGCACCCACATTTTTCCGACGCCACATTTTTCACCCGACGAACACGAGTATCAGGCGTCGCTTGAGGCGCACCAACAGTTCATCGACAGTTCTCCGGAATTTTATTCGAACCACATCTTGGAACAGAAGTACAATCCTGCCGCCGCGCACAATTATGTTAAAAATTTCGTTCGAGGTGAGTTTAGAATGACTTTATATATGAGGTATATTCAGAAAATAACGCGATTTGAAGAGTCAGATTGTCATTCTTCTTTTATTATTGTGCCCCTGAACTATGATAAAAATTTCATCTGTATTCACTGTTTACTTCGTCTGTGGCTGCCGCTGCCGTATGGTATAAACAGTTTCAAGATGGCTGTGAAAAAGTGGAAAAAGTGAAATGAATGCTTGAAACAATTCGAAAAAAACCTCCGGAGTTGTAAAAAAACAGTTCATGGCTTTTGCACAACGATTGTGCACCTGTACACACTTTGCTTGTTCGTCAATGTTTGCTCAATAACAACTGTAACGATGTTTCAGCCTGCATATTCGCCAGACGTGGTTCCGCGTGACTTTTTTCTATTTCCAAAAATAAAGAGAACTTTGAAGGGCCGTCGTTTCACCACCTGGAAGAGTCCTAATTAGATAATATGCACGAGTGCATAATATCTAATTAGGACAATTCTGAAAGCAACAACATAAATGAAGACAAATGAATAAATGCCTTCTAGGATACATAAAGCACATACTTCATGTATATGTAAGTTATTCTGGAAATTGTTCTTGAAATATGATTCTGCGATCATTGATGAACAATTATGTTTCTGGAAAAACGAGAGAAAGTGCAGTACGAATGATATGATAAGGAACTTATATCTGTCGAAAAATTATTTGGTGGTTTCCTTAATCTAGCTGAATCATTCGACACAGTATGCAATAATACTGATTAAGTCATCAGATAACCTAATGAGAAGTCCAGTTTTAAAAATTTTTTACCTAATAGGTAGGCCATAAATAGTCAAAATTTAAAAATGCCTGAAGGAAGCCCTCAATAGTCACTACAGGTGTTCCCCAGGGTATAGTACTGAACCCACTACCTTTCCACATTTATATAAACGATATTTGCAAAAATCTTTAATTTCTATACTTTGCGTATAGATACGCAACCTAAAGCTGTTGTATAACGAAACACGCGTTGCGTTTTGTAGAACTATTTGGTGAAAATCTCACGATGAAGTGTTTTTTTAATATACGTTGGGGATTTTCATCAAGTATCGGCCGATTCCATCACATAATTTTGCATAGGACAATACATATTTTTGGCTTCTTCAAAGGAATCATCAACTATATTCCTTTAGGTTTAGCTTTATAATCATCACGAAAAAAAATTCGAAACGAGTGAAAACATGTTATCACCTCCCATTAATTTTCTTCAGGAACCGGAAGGTTCAACGAGGGCTACCCGGAAACGTACGGCTCCCCCTACGAAACCACCTCCTTCCAAACGGTTCCAAGCGCCGCCAACAACGGACCCGAGCAGTGGGGCCACAGCCACGAATTAGCATTGGGGCACCATCCCCACACGCATCCTGCGTTCCTCTCTGCAGGCATGGGTAGGGAGCAACTGAACACGATGCAAGATACGAAACCTATGATCCAAAACGGGATGATAGCCGGATATCCGACGAATCAGGGAGCGGGAGGACCTTGCTTTACAGGTAAGAACTTGATAATAACGACAAATTTTTTGGTCCCCTCGTTGGGCGCCGATACTTTATGATCCTCAATAATTGTTGTGTAAGCGCTGTAACTGCCTGTTCTAATAACGCACCATCAAGTATGTGCTTCTTGTGGTCTAAAATCGTGACTTCTCTTTTTTTGATGACCTGCCTGTAATATATATTATTAGGCTTTGTTGCATTTATTGTCGGCTATAGGTTAGATTTCCTTACATTAACAATATAACTTTGGTCAAGTTATTTCTTTTCCTTCTTTATATTCTCTTGTATTCGTTTTCAGCTGGGTTAGGTTAGATTTGGTTGGCGACAGCTGGCTGACGAAAAATTAGAATTTTTCCACAGATTCGTATAATTGTTCGATATTGAAGTCGTTCAGTGAAAGTAACTAAATTAGTAAATCGTTCCTCCAGTAAACCATAACAGTTTCAAAGACAATCGATTTTTTTATATATATCGATATTTTAGTTTACCGTTTTTTGCAGTTTTTGCAGTCTTCGTTTGTTTTCCTCCCTACCTATCCGTTTCAACCATTGAATGAAATGGCGCTTCAATACAACGATCTAACAAATGATATAGTTGCAATTACACGATGGAAAGCCCCAATCAAACAGTAGCGAATAATCATTAAATCGATGAAAAAATACGAAAACAATGGCGAGCAGACGGGCTTTCATGATAGAGCGCGACGTGTCTTGGCAATTGTTTCGCGGCGTGACCTTGGAAGATTTATTATTAGCGGTAGCAGTCGGTAGCATAATCATTTTTAATAATACCCCCTCGATCCTCTCTCTCTTTCTCGCATTACTTCAATAATAAGGCGGGTAATGAAGCTTGGACGAAGTGTTTCTTTTCTCTCATACATTTTACTTAGAAAAATTCTCTCGTCGAGACTACTACGGCTCGGTTTAATTATTTCATTTACATTTTATGGGGGGTTCGTCGTCGCAGACGAACCTTGCTATCTAATTTGATTGGCGCCACTCATCGAATAATTTTTCTTGTGTTCATTACAACCTTTAGTACTTTCATTATCGATCATTTTATCAGCGGAACGAATTATGAAGTCTCATTTCTTCGGGAAAGGCATTTTAACAGTTTAAGTTGGAGCTATTGTTGCCACTTCCCACTTGGAAATAATTTAACGTTGCCTCTGCATGATGATGACAAAAACATTTCCCAAATATCGCCTGAGCTCATTCGCGAGATGTGTGGGTAGTGTATCTACGCACAAAAAAAAATCAATCGCACAAGTACTATTTTTGATCAATTATTCGTACTTGATATTAAAAAGTAGCTTCCAGAACTACTTCGACAACACCACTTTCAATATTGAAAAAATTTCTAATACGATATCGTGCTTATTCCATTGTTGAAACACGGAACTGTACACATTATGTATTTTTCCAAAAGACATTCATTCTAGACTAAAAGAGACATGTTCCTGATGAACATCTTTGTTAGAAATATCTATATTATAAGTTTAGTCGAAGTTCTATCGATAATAAGAACATTTTGACATATATTTCTTCAAAGAAATTATTTCTTTAAACAAATTTATTTTCAACAATATTTCAATTATCACAAACTGATTTATTTATTACAACAATTAGCAACTAACTCTTAATTTATTTTCACTATTTGAATTTCTTATTTAGCCGCTCGATTCACTTTCTGAACTGCCCTCTTGGGTCGGGAAGACGGCCTTATATCATTAAAGGCCCTTTCGAGAATTTTGCAGATGGTTAGGTACTCGACTAGAATTTTACCGGCGATTGCATTCTTTCGCGGTGAGGTCATGTGTTTGTTCGATGAGTCGGCTGGCGTATCGGTCAGGGGCGGCTTCAGATTCGTTCTACTATCTTCTGTACAATCACCTACAGACCACTTTCATGAAGAATCTCCAAGGAGTTACTCGCAATTCAATATCTGTGGTGGGAAAAACTCATATTTGGAATTCTAGTGTATTTTCCATTTCACTCAAACGAAAACATCAATTTCTCAACGATGATGAACTTTTTTAAAAAATGGATTTTTCCAATACTTTTATTAATTCTTTTCAGGATCAGGACCGATCCAGCTGTGGCAGTTCCTTCTCGAGCTACTTACCGACAAATCGTGTCAGGCGTTCATATCTTGGACAGGCGATGGATGGGAATTCAAACTCACCGATCCTGACGAAGTAGCCAGAAGGTGGGGCATACGAAAGAATAAACCGAAAATGAACTACGAGAAATTATCGCGAGGACTTCGATACTACTACGACAAGAATATCATACACAAGACTGCTGGTAAACGATACGTTTACCGATACGTCTGTGATTTGCAGACTTTATTAGGGTGAGTACTATAAGAATTCACAACTTGAATTTTTTAAGCGGCATTATCCATGAGCTACGACTAACACTGATCAACACTAAAGACAACTCGAATTTGATCACATGAAGGAAATTCTCACAATGCAGATTTGATCTTCAAATAAAAGAAGAAAGTTCTAAATGATTCCATTCGTGCTTCATGGGAATTCTTTCTGAAGTTTCAATTTTACTGGTCTAAATTTAAAAATCCCTCTATGAATACCGAAATCATCGACCTGAACCAAATGCTGAAAACTTTTTTTAATCAATAGTGATATTTTTTGGTTGAATTATGCAATTTCATAGGGTGTGAAAAATTTGGTCAAAAAGTTATATAAAAGTCATTATTTTGTTTTTCCTTTTTTCTGTCAATTTTTTTCATATATATTTTACTCCTTATGCACCATTTGAAAAATGTTTTAATAAAAAAAGACTGCTAGTTTTGAAAAACGAACTGTTTCTGAGACATTGATAATTTGATGAGTCTTTTTTTGTTTGAAATTGAAACGAAATCTTAGATATTTATCATGAATAAAAAATACTAGTGAATTTTCTTCAAACTTCGTGGCTCAGAATTTAAAATAAAAATTTTTTCTCGATAAATTTACATTTTGTGTGAAAAAATAGTTGTAGATTGTTTCATTAGGTACTTACAACTTGAAGAGGTCTAGCCTTTATGAAATTGTAAAATATCATTTTCCATCCATAAAAGTTTACCACAACTCATTATTCGTAACTTGGCTCAATTTTAAATAAAATACCTTTCCCGTTATCATTATCATATTTTGTATCCTTATTATTATTATCATCATTATCAATTTCTTGGGCATGAACAGAAAATAAGATATCTTCATTTTCTTTTGGATTGTATTTAGTAGATCACTAGATTCATTGTGATCGATTTTTTGAAATATAGTAAGCCCTACAAGCAGAAACTAAGGAATGATTGAGTGTATTTTTGATTACCTACTGTGATGAATATGGCTAAAAATATTGTTACAATGATGATCCATTTAAATTTGTATGGAATACAAATTGTTCGTAGCTTACATTCTTAAGTATATACATTTTTTTCAATTTGAAGTCGTAATACTACTATATTTAAAAATGTGGTAGGTATGACCAAAAATTTCAAAGAACACATCAATTTTTGTTTAGAACAGAATATATGTAATCACTCAACTGCATATCCCAAATCTAAATTAGAACGATTATTTTCTCCCAATAATTGTTGGAAAATCATTTTCATTAATACCAATTTTTGGTTGAATCTCATTTAAATAATGCGATGTCAACATTAGGATTGTTGAAATCAAGAAACTATTTCTTAAAATCACATTTTGCAGAAGAAGAGAGATAGATGAATCTCCGCAAAAACTACATTAATGTGTCAAATATATTCGCTGGTAGGTATAGGTTTGCTGTACTGCAAGAACAACTAGAATGCTGAGTCTGTTGCCTCATTATATTCGGCTGATGATGTCTATCGCAGTTGTAGACGAAATGTCAGACATAAAAACCTGCAGACCTCAGCCAAAAACCCTGGAGAAAAGCTTTGTTACAATAATCTCAGACCGGAAAGTTTACATTCTTTGAGTTACCATATTCATGTTTCACTATACCTAGTTTTTACTTTCGAATATTTAAAGAAGTTTTTCTTTACAGATACAGCCCCGAGGAGCTTCACGCGATGGTGGACCTCAAGCCCGAAAAGAAAGACGATGACTGAACTGAACAACCATCTCCATTCTCACAAAAGTATCAAAAATAGTGTCAACATTGGCATTCATGCTAGATAAAATTGGTGCCTCTCTAATAGTTGAATCAAAATCAAATTTCAAATCGACAACAATGTGTCTAAATTTTTTTCCCGGCTAATACTGTTGAAAAAACATCCTGGAAAAGTTTCAAATTGAAACAGTTTGTTGCCAAGTATGCAAAATTGTCTTGTATTATGAAATTAACGAATATGCACGAACAAATATAAGTTATAAAGAAACAGTTTTTGAATACCTAAAGATATTTTACAGAAAATGAATGTTCAAAAAAATGTTAGTGCCATCCATAAAATGCCACAATATCTTATTCAATGGAATTAATCTTGTGCGAGGTGTTTGTCTTGCAAATACTCCTTCCGTTATTATCGGAATTCTTTGACAGTCGTTTCAAATTGGCTCACATTTATACATTTTTTATTTAATTTAGGTATTTTCTCAAAGGACTCACATTTTCAAGGTAATTGAGAATCAACCAGACATAGGTTTTACAATTTTTCAAGTTCTCTTCTTTTCACTTTCAATCATTCTTGGTTGACTCTCTTTGTTTCCAGAAAGCTCTGGAATTATCTGTGATTCTTACCAAATAAAGTATTTTTATATCGATTTACAGTTGATATTTGAACGCCTGTAACTTTCAAATCTATCTTTCTAGTACTTGCACAAAACGAAAATTCTCACACTGAACAAAAATCGACAACACATTAGTGATTTTTTGATAATAATTATAATATTCGTTTCCAAAATGAAAAATTCAAGGATGAGGGTCGCTGTTTTAGGCCCCAAGAATATATCACAATACTATGAGTATTTCAAATCAATAAAGCGGAACACTGTAAATATTAATATTGTGATAAGCCTATTGAATCATAGTTTATACTTACAAATAGTTTTCGTGAGATACGTGTTGGAAAATATTGAACGATTTTTATGTTTGGTGATCAGTCGGGAGTTTCAGAAAAATCAACCCAATTTCCTAGCTTTTGCTCTAGTTGGTAATTTAAATGATATTATTGATGTTGCAATTTGCTGTTACTATGATTTTTTCAATGTTTCATTCTCCTCCCGAACAACACAAGGATATCCAATAGATATCCGCTGAACGTCCAGTTTATGTCCAACGGATATCTTCTGAATATCTTATGGAGATTATCATTTCATGTTCAAGAATATTCCGACCTGAAGTGGACATGAATTGGATATCCATACGATATCCAGTGGCTCATTCCATTTCTGACACCAAACCAATGTGGTGAACATCAAATAACTTTGAATTATCATTTTTGGCGGTGCTTTTTGATATGAATCATCATAACAACTGAAATTGAGTTGGTTTAACCTCGTACTTCTCTCCACTGGTCAATAATCTGTTAAATTTTTTTACTATTTGACATGTGTTCTGACGTCATCTTGCAATATTTAATGAACTGTTTTCCATTCATGTTGACGAGTGTCGTTGAATACTATTTTTATGAATGTGGTCTCAATATTCGACTGGTCAATTGTTGAAAAGGATTGTGCGAGAGTTTCTGTGAACTTTCACAGAAGTACATCCAAATAGAGCATTTTATTTCTGGAATATTCCACCATCCTTCTCAACTGACGATCAGTTTATTTTTTGTAAGTATGTTTTATTTTTTAAGTTATTATTAAATGAGAACACAATCGTTCGAAAAAAACAGGTGTGGATCTCGTTGTAAGGGGTCCTCCTGCATATTTGTGTTTATCATACATATAATTATTGTACTAAATGAGATGTTTCAATAAAAATATATTGGTATTACCATTTTTTTTTTATTTATTTCCGAATCATTTTGAAAAGAGATTCCGTTTCAAAATGTTTTTTAACTCGACAGGTAGAATCAGAACTACTAATGTCAGCAATAAGTATGGAAAGCACTTCTACTCTGAAGGATTGATAAAAAAACCAGTGGAAAACATAAATACAATCAAAAATACTAGGTGGCATTCCCCAATGCTCCATTCTTGGGCCATTTAACTAGACTAATATTCTGAAGATTTAAGACAGGTGCAAAATTTAACAGAAATACACTCAAAAATACTAGGTGGCATTCACTAAGGAGCCATTCATGGGTCATTAAACTAGATTTTCAGACAATTTTTTAATGAATGAAATTCGTAAAGTATAGGGCAACACACATTTAGATATATAAAAAACACAGATCCAAACTCAACTTGAAAAAGTAATTTGATGATGTACCTTTTATTTCATTTTCCTTTTTTATTAACGAGTTTCCATCTGAGAACTTATAAGACTCATGGACAATAGAGTTAAAAGTTGTATTACAAGAGAAAAGTTCGGTCATGTCATTAACTGCCAGACAGATATCTAAATATAAAATACATTTGAAGTGGATCGATTACAGTACTTGAATATACATGAAGAAACTATGCAATTTGCAGATATGTTTAGAAATACATATAGGAATAGAAACAATGTATTGAGAGAAGATTGTTCAAATATTTTTTGAATTTGTTCTCAGAAGATTTCAGTTCTATTGGTAATTTGTTTTAAATGTTAACATTTACTGAATTTTTTGTTAGTGTTAATTTGGGACATCTTAATTTCCTGGAATTATTATAAAATGCATCATTAATAGGAAAAATTGATATTCCTGTAAATTTCCAAGGCAGATTAATAAATATAAATAGAGAGCACGGGTAATGATCCTGTATCTTATGAATAAAGGATGACAATGAGCACGATGACTGCACCATGAAGGAATTACAATTCTCTCGAAGACAAAAAACTTGAAGTAATTGGGCAGATATAACCCATAAGATTGCGCCGTAGTTGATAGAACAGGGAGATGTGGATATTTTTCAGTTGTAATGAAAACAATTGAGAAGATTGTGATTTTCAGTTTAACCTGTCGCACAACTACACGGAAGAAAAAAACCGTTTTTGCGTTTCTCTCGATTTAATTAGAGGTGATTAATGGTGATGAACTGTGTGTCTAATTGGACACCTTTGGGTTTTTACAAAAATGCTCATAACTCCTACCAACCTCAAGAAAAACAAAGAGTATCAGCTAATATCATTATTCAAAAGAATGACAGGTATAGTACATACGAAGTCAATTCGAATGGCACAAAAACTAAATAGTTACCGAACGTTGGCAGTTTCTTTGTATGGCATGGGCGGCGTGGTATAATTTTTTGTCTAATATTTGTTTTTATGTGGGGGGTTTCATATGGTATTATCAAGTAAATTTATCAGACCCAGTATATTGGTCTTTTATTTAGCTATTGAGATTGACTTCGTATAGACATAACTACTGACTTTAGTAATTTAGTGGATAGTGGAGTTGATAAGCTACTAAGGAAAGATACACCTACTAAGTCATGTCGTACTGTAATTTACAAACAACCGATATGAACCATGAGTTCAAATAACGTTATATTTGAAAATAAGAACACTCATGTTGAATTGATTATCATTTTTTGGATTTTATCTCTGTCACTCTCACTAATACAAGGTATTTTAAACAGATTTTTCAGAATTACATTTGAAAAGGTATTTTCCACAACTTTCACCAAAAGAAAAATGGAAGAATTACATTTTTGTAACGGTTAATTTTATTCATATAGACGTCAGAGCCGGATTCAAACTTGATAAGACCTCAAGCTACTTGAGATATTCTGGATTGAACAACAACAAATCTTTGAGTTTGAATTTTTATTCCTATCAAACTCTAAGATGCAAATTCTGATGAGAAAAAAAAGTTCTTTCAAAGGAAACAATTCAAAAGGGTCACCTAATCTTTTGAAACTATTTATGGAATTGAGGAAATGTATTGAACTGAAATATTTTTGTTCTTGTCTCTGCCAGAGCGAAGTCACTAATAACATCATCAAATGATACATTGCCTAGTTTGTTACTTTCTGTGCACATGAGGCTGAGAAAACATATTCCCCTTCCGTTCATTTATTCATGCTAGAGGGCGACGCAGTATATTTGAGAATAAATGACAATTATTCACTGGGACATTTATTTCTGACCTCCCAAGAAAGTGAGAGAGAGTAAGCTATAATTTGTGTAGCTTACTCATAAACTCTGCCCTGCAATGCACTATCCTGCGTTGAAACCAAAATGTTTTTCTTGAAATAATTCTACGAGTATATTTGTCAGTAACATAAAGTAAATAAATATTTTATGAATACTGATTAACATTTAGCAAACAAGAACCGGGCTCCGTTTTCGAAATCGCTAAAATAAACGAAGGGTAGGTAAACAGCAGTTTATGAGTTCGATCCCATTTGATTTAACAATTATTAAACATATCAGATGCCTTGCTGGTGCCCGTGACAAGTCCCCAACCCTCAAAAAAAAGGGTATTTCAGTGTTAGTTGAAATTAATAAGGTCTTTGGAAATTATTATTTTAGCATATGACAGCGAAGAATTTTCTGCAAAAGTAAATGATTACTCACAAAATCTAAATTGCTAGAAATCATCATTGAACTTGAGTTTTAAAGGTTCGACCAGCGGTACAAAAATTCAGAAATTTTGGTTACAATATTTAAGTAATTATTAACATATTCTGTTGTGAAAAATATATTTCTTTGGCCTTCATATTTTATTTATTTTGTTCCCATTCAACGACTAAACAATTCATTTATATTTCTCATTAACGGTTACAAAGTTTGATCGATTATTTAATCTCGCACATCTNCAGGTAGCCCCATCTATCCGACGGATTTAATAACTGTAAAACCGATCAATCAAAAGTAGGTAAGTTGCAGATTATCTACATAACCCCACTCTTTTGATTTTACAATCATAGGACATAATAGGTACTGATCGGTCGAATACGCTACAAAATCATTTTCCATTTGATTACATTTCTGAAGGGGCAAATAATGACCATTACTATAAATTTAATTTCACATTATTCAAGTTTGAAGTCAGAAAAATATAATTCTGATTTTGAATACTTAATTACATCAATCATTAATGTTTCTGCATTTCCGTATACACAAGCGCCGCTGATGACGTCATGATTTCTTGGCGGTGAAATTCGGCCATACCTTTGACGTGTATCATCGTTGATGACAAAACTCTTCAGGTATGTTCATTTGTTACCTGAACTTTCGCAACCTATAAGCCATCGTTAATTCATAAATCAAGCATGTAATCTGATCTGGATAGTGAATGGTGGACACATTTTAATAATCAATCGTGGATTTACTACTAGTAGGAGTAGGTTAATGTGTATAAAAATATCTAATGGTTGAACACTGTCCACAAAAGATTCAGTTACAATTACTGAAAATCAATAATCTAACTTTTTACCATTCAAAACAACTGTTGATTTAAATTTCAATCTACATTCAGCTTCCTGATATAGCAGGTGATATGTTTAAAAGATTCATACTTAAACTATTTTCACTTACCGCCAATATTCTTCCTCTGAAAATGATGTTCTTTCTAGATATTATTAACCAAACTACATGCATCGATATCTAAACTAACTTTTTTTCACAAATAACGAAGAACACACATTAACCTTGCAAACCAATGATCAACTGACATGACGCATGGCAGGAACATTTGATATCATGAAACTATACAAATTTCAAAGCCTACTCCGCTTTCAACTCGATTTCAACATTCAACTAAGCGGTTTGACAAGATTACCACATGACTTTTACTTTCAAAAAAAGTTTGAGTAGGTACATAATTTCTAATTCAATTTGGTTCGGAAGAAGAAAATGTGATGATCTCATTTTGATAATATCCTAGCAAAACTGGATGTCGGTTCATCGCCGGGCCGTCACTGTAACCATCAGCACTTCAATGACAACGGTTCAGCATAAGTCTCCTATTGCTGTTCATGAGGAGGCTACGACCCCTCAGTCATAGAAGAACATTAGATGGACCCTTATCTTTTGCCAGCTCGTTTTTGTTATGTATTGTTCTGATGTTTGTTGTATTTTCAGCGTTGAACCGTTACCGCATCATATGAAATTCTTTCATAATTTCAAGATATGTTCTACCACATCCGTAGAGGGTAAGTATTTTTATTTAGTGGTCATAGATTTATAGATTATGTGTTTTCTCTTTGTTTGTGATGTGATCAGCAGTGAGTGTTATGCTGTGCTGAAGACACTGTGTTGCCATTTTTTATATGTCAGCGGCCATTATATGCATTGTTGTATATGGGTTGGAATAATGAATGTAATTGAGGCCTGAAATTGGGAGTCCAATAGATCATCATGTTAGGATAATATGTATGTCTCAATATGCTTCTGCCTGTCTAACTTCAGTACACATTATGTCAAATTAATGAATGAACGTTGGTTGAATGGCTGAAAACCAGAGCCCAAGCACAAGGCGGTTATCTTTGAAATTGAAAAAAACCAATAATTGAAAACTATAACATAACTTAGTACGAACCGAGCAACAAAAAATATCAGAACTGAAAATAAAAAAAATTGATGATTGAATACAAGCGCACGTACGCACATACACGCACACAAGGGCTTTTTGTTTATCTATTGACATTTTTCAAAGCATTTGGTAGCTCATCGTAAAACTAGTACTAACATCGTAAAACAAGTACTAATGTATGAAATTGTGATGCACTGTTTGGAATCTTTGGCGTAGTAATGAATAATACTGTAGTTTTTTCCCAACACCAAACCGTTATTTTTAACACCTAGAAACGTGTTTCGAAAACCAAGTGATCATCTTCAAGAGGATCAAACTTGACCTTCCTCTTGAAGATGATCACTTGGTGATCGAAACACGTGTCAAGGTGTTA